GAAAACCAAGATGGCGGCATAGGTAAACACCAGAGAGTGTTGCCTCACACAACCACTTCAAAAATACAACTAAAAGACGGAATGGACATCATCCAGAACCACAGGAAGGCTGGCTAGTGGAAATTCTACTAGAAGGAAAGAGAAAAGCATACTGAGACTCAGAGGAGGTGCGGTGCAGAAGTAAAGTACAGAGGTACGGAGGCTCATGCGGAGAGGGCTGGCGGCTGAGGGCACGGTTGTCTTTTTCAATCGGGAGGGAGTCTTAAGCTCTGAGCTCCAGTTCCGGGCGAGTCTCTGGGGACCCTGATTCATATGGGAGAAACTGGACTGTCTGGCATCGGTCAGAACTCCAGGGCACCTTTCTCTCGGAGGTGCTTGCAGCGATTGCTGGGACACTGAGAATTGGGGCCTTTGAGGGCAGGACTGAGAGCAGCCATAACCGATCCCTCCGCCCTGTTGATCCCCTGGGACCCTGCCCTGCCCAACCCCTGCACAGAGGCTTTTGCATATGAAAGGCCTGGCCCTTTGCAATCTGAAAATTACCTAACAAACTGCAGCTGACCCAAGGCCCCACGGCAACTTGTATTGCTTCACAGCTGGTTCCTGTTGGATAGCCTCAGGCAGAGGCTAGATTAGCACCTCCTTAGAGATCCAGGAGCCAGTGTGCCCAGTGGTCAGAGTGGGACGTCCAGATTGCAGCTCCTCGGATTCATAAAGGACACACTCAGGGGGCAGACTCAGTGAGCACCAAAGCCCCACTGAAGCAAGTCTTGCCCCATAAGGGTGTCTCCAGCACAGAAGTTCTCCCACTGCAGACACAGCTGATTCTCACAGCAATTGACCTGGAGGTCAATCCCTCCCAGTGTTACCTACAACAATCAAGGCTTAAAAACAACTAGTACAAGGGTTTGGCTTTGTGCACAAACTCACAAGGGGGTGCACCAAGAGTGTCTACCTCAGGTAATTGGGGAGGCTGAGCCACTGGGCACTATAGTACACCTAGCACAGAAAGCCACTCTATCAACACAGCGAAGCATAAAAAATGCAGAGATAAAGAAACAGGACACAAATGACAGAAATGGAGGAAAGCAAACTACTGGATATAGAGTT